TCTTGTGGCCATTTATGCAGTGGTATCACACTGACTTAGACGGATACTCAATATATTTGCTGATGCGACAAGTCATTTATCAGAAGCAACCTGCCAAAAAATCTTATGTCTTTACTGTGGGGGCGGAAAGGTTGAGACTGCAAGGGTCTTTGGCCTGTGTCTCCGTGATTTACTTGTCACTGTGTAATCCCACTGCATCCAGCTGTTCTTGCTCCCATCAACATCGCCAACAGATATGTCGTTGTCATGAGAAATTACTAGCGGTAGTTTTATCAGTCAATCCAAAGTAGAAGCTTTTATTTTGACAACACAATGTGAAGATCTGTTTATTCTAAACATACCAGATAATTGTCAATCGCGTGTCTAGAGGTTTTGAAGACACCATAAAATCGATAGAGGTATTCACTGGAAAGTGCTCGATACCATTTGTTTCTCTTACGCAAGAACGAAAATTGTTTAATTTAGCATTGAATTAAAACAAGTTACCTTTTAACTTCTTAAAAAATCAAGGGCAAAATTGGAGGTATTCCTAATAATCACACAAGAGTCAGCTTTAGAGACCGAGAAAAAAGATGCTTTACCCCAATTAAAATATCATTTTGTCATAATATAGTGTTTCAAATAAGTGAAGTTTGCTACCTGGCTTTTAACTGCAGCCAGTTCGCATTGCTGTTGCATGAACACCTGCATTCAGCCAACCTCAAGGCTTTGGATTATGGAATACTATCACCGCGGTTACATGAGACCTTCTTTGAAGAAAGGATACATTTTATCCGCACCATTTGTGTCACCACAAAGGCATGTTTCAAAACTTCGCGTACTTTTTGTGGCGCTTCTAGCAGAGCAGGTTGCAAGGCTCCTATCCATTACTAATTTACTATTCTTGTTGCTTATTTTTGATCTGTTTTAAGTTGAAACTGCAGGAGCCGAAGTGAAGATACTAGTAAACTATAGATCTCCTGTTTGAATGAATTCCGAAGTTTCACTATCGTCACCTTTGAAACTATTTAAAAACCTTAAATTTAGTTTAAGATTTACGAAATTACGGGTCGACTCGAATCCAAACACCGATTGTTCACACAGCCCAAAATTACCTTATTTAATATGAAACTTTCGGTTTCATGAAACCCTTCGGAATCTGAGCCTGCTGCCTTAAAGAGGCACCATTGTCCCTATTTCCAGTGCAGTTTTTATCTGCACTTGGCGAGAGATCATAAACCACCATAAATTGGATCTAGTTATATCAGAATGTAGTTGCTATTCCTTTGCAAGAATCTGAAAAATAAAGGCCCTGTTTGCCTTCGGTTTAATAGCGTCTAATTCGTTGAATGCTCTTATGAAGTCTCACATATTCCCATAATTGACGACACCTTAGGCATTCGATACTTGACTAACTGGCTATTTAAACTCACGGAATCCTCAGACTCCGTAGTCTGAAACCCCGATTTGGTGGCATGGTCCTCCCACCTTGCCTACAACCTTCTAATCCTCGCAAATTTCCCTTCAAACTGCTATGCCTTATCGCTTCAGAGCAGGCTCAGGGTGATGAGGTAAGACTTCCTCCATTATGGTGCAAACATCAAACAGTGAAAATTTTTCCACTGTTCTTTGCCAAGTTGTACAATGAAGTCAAAATTAATGATATTTTTAATGAAGGAAATTACACGAGAAATGTTTTGACTTATTTCCGAGGTCTGTTTTATGCTAGTTCTTCCACTCCATTCACCAAAGCCAATTTTTAACATTGTTTTGAACACATTAAGATGGGACTAAATAGGCTACAATAAAAACTGATTAAACCGCCTTAATTTTACCTTTATTTACCAGCCATTAAAACTTTTTTTGCTTTTGATTGCGTAATTGTCTAATGCGAAAAAGAGGCGATAACAGTGACCCCTTTGAAATTTTGTAAAAGGTCATTTTTTTTTAACTACGGAGGGTGAGAACAAAGGTAAAGATTGGACTGGGACAGTGTCTCCCTTTCTCCCTCCCATCTCCTTCTAAATGAAGCGCAAATCTTCTTGCGGCTAAGATTTGCGGTATGGCTTAAGAGGTATTGCACTTTACTGCTCTACAAGAATATAACTTCTTCCAGACTGAATGACCAGTCTCGGCTCTTTCTGAAGGTGGCAAAGGTTTGTTTGCACAACTCCGAGTTGAATGGAGTGGATGGATCTTAACCAAAATTATTATTTGCCGTTCAGCAAGTGAAGAATTCACAGTGAACAAATAGAGCCAAAGTCTGTCAAAGAGAAGGCCTTTGGAGATGAAGTGCTACGTGGCTGACAAACTGTTGCATGCCAAAAGCCCATTCTCACCAAAAGTCAGTCATTCAGCACATTGCCTGCAAAAGGCGTACTTTTAAAAGGTGTGTGTGAAAGTAGTGAAGGAGAAGAAAAATGAGAAATCGATGGTCCTTGAAGCCTCTGTCATGTGTCTAATATTAAATGAATTAATATGGGATTCCTGTAACTTGACAATGGCAACACGCTATTCTCTCTTCTTCTTGATCATCAATGGGTTCCAAGCACTAATAGATCCATGATCATTAATGGGAAAATCCTTCTAAAAGTGGTACAGCATCTAAATGTAGGTTATTTTTACCACCATCCTACTAACATAACTTCTCCGATTGCCGCGCTTCAGCTTTGGAACCGGATGAGACTAGATTTACCTAGCTGTCAAGTTCAAATCTCCTCTGTCAGATTCAGCCCACCTTTTAGGAGATGAGGAATCAAAACAAGAGTGGAGAACTGTATAAGTTGCTTATTTGAGCAGTTGGAAGCATTTAATAAGCCCTCAAAAACTACATTTATTCATTTTAGAGGATTGTACCAAAACTTTTTCATTCACCTGTTAATGAAATCTAGTAAATAACCATACACGAATAGCTATAGAGACTCATAATTTAAGTATATGATGTATTTTTAGTAAAAATTCCCAAAGCGGAATACCCTTTCATGCAATATTTATAAACAAAATTGATGGAAATACGGCAATTGCTCTGCATAAAAAAATGCCACGCAACATTGGTCCATGAGCCGTATGGCCTTTTGACCTTGCCCTTAATGTGAGTTTCTGTGTGGACTGTGCTTACCAAACCATACAGGAACAATCTTATAGATGCTAAAATTTCTGGGCACAGTATTTTTGCTACCCAATTCATCATCAAGGTCTCCAGTATCTGTCTAAACCTGACCCATCGAAAGCGGCCAGTCCAGCTAGTCATCAACTGGGCGAAATGTTGTTTATCTCCTCTTTCACTTTTGACAGATGCCAAAGCATAGGGACACTGGAGATACTGCATTATGCGTTTCGATTTAACCAGACGGAAGTCGCTAAATCTCACCGAAATTTTTGGTGAGGAAATCTACGTGTTTACCTTAAAGAATTCTTTCTTTTATCAAGACAATTTCGAATAAGTTCAGTCAAATATAACTTTATCTTAAAGTGATGACTTTCATCCTAAATGATTGGGAAATCTGCCAATCATATTCCACTTATAGGGCATAATACCCTTTGGCCATTGAGGGGTTTAAATAAATGGGAACATTGTAGCGTGATTAATGTTACTTTTATGTGACTAAATCGGCCAATTTTAACTCTTCATTCGTTCACACTTGCAAGACATTAATCGTCCATTTTTCATTAGAGGGCTAATTAAAAGAGGCGTTTAAAGTTCTGCAATAATTACTTAAACAATCTCACCAATTAGGTCAGATTTGCAGAACATTCACTTCATTTACCTAACAGGGTTAGCAAAATTTTAGGGTAATCTTGACAATCTTTTACATATACGAACATTAGTATCAGTGTTTGTGACTACTTTAAACTTAAAAATGAATCTACTTTGTCGGAAATCTGCAACACTAATGAGAGGCCGAAAATAAATGAATGAAGCGTCGATTCTTTAAAGACTTTTGTATTATTTATTTAATGATCCAATAGGTTATGATACTAAAAATTGATTTGATTAGTTACTACTGAACTAGAGTAAAATACTTCACCTTTTAAATTAGAATCTTGATTTAAGGGCTCTTGTAACCATGGTACTACCACATCTCGTTGTCACTCCTCGCTCCTCTTAAGGAGGTTGCCAAGATCGCAATTAAGGGAGGGGAAGAGAAAGTGGCTGCAGTGTGGATATGCTGGAGCAGTCAACTATCGAATGTATAGGAGAGGACTGTTTGAGAGTATCCAAGCTATTAGACTAAGATACATGAGTGGAGGATATGCAACTCTTGGAGTGGAGATAATATCAAGGCATGGTGGATAGGTGGGGTGATTACCTCAAAACTTCACGATTTACAACATGTGCGTGACTCACCAATGCAATTTTGGAAATTGTCAATGCTCTCGCGCTGTCACAATACAGTTTTTGTCACGAACGCAATCAGGGACGTTTTGGCAACAGTAGAGAAGTAGATTTGACTCGGATTTGGTACTCCAAAAGCAATGAGGTAGCTCTTTGACAGTTACCACATTGTCTCAGCTTGTCGGGTTGCAAGTGAAAGTGATTTGTTTGGAAGCATTATGTCAGCCACAAAAGTAGGAATTTAAGAATAAGTGTCATGATAAATTTTTTTGACTTGGGTTTGGACTAATGAAATGAAGTCAGGTAAAACCTCACTGCCACGGGGTCCTGATGAACGGATGGATAGAGGAATGGATGGATGAATAGATGCGGGATAATATATTCAAAAAGCATAATTTAAATCCTCTTATCATCTACTTGGTTTTTTCGAGACACTGAGTTAATGAGTGTCTGGATTGACTACCATAGGTTTCATCGGTTGCTTTATTTGCAAAAGGAGTAACGCTCATCATGACCAGAAAGTTGCCTTTCCTCTTTGACCTTTCTTTTGGTACCTTCTTGTAAATCATTCCGCTTCAAAGGACAATAGGTAAAATTAACTCAACATTACGAATTGCATTTGGCCTAGTTACAAATAATAAGTGGCGGTTACTATTTAGGCAACCAAATAAGCTGTGACAAAATATTATTGGCTTTAATTGAGTTTCCGCAGTTTTTATTTCCCTTCCATCACTCCAGTAAGGCTTGCTGTCTTCAGAAGTGACTCGGGTGCCCAAAGATAATAGAATAAAAAAAAAACAAACAAAACAAACAAAACGAGTGGTCATTTTATAGGAGGTTTAAAAAGAAAGGTCTCACTTTTGTCACGTCGGTTACTACTAGATGCTGCTTCCAGCTCTTCTGAAGAGACCTCTTTCCGTAGTTGGGATTTCGAAGGAAATAAAGAAAACATAACTCCTTTTCTTTGATTTAAAGAGGTGTAATGAAAATCCGACATCCGAGTTTAACCCCATGAAGACCCCGATAAAAGTAGTTTAAAAGTGTAGAGGGAATACCGGTAGATGTGGGTTGAAAGGGCCTTCAAGACCAAATATCAAACGAAAATAAGGTCATTTCTTCAATATGTGGGTTATTAATTTACCAAAAGGCTTGAATAAACGGGATCCGTTAAAATCCTGCTTCATTTCTCATTAAATTTATTCATTGATGGGTATTCCCTGGCAAAATAAAGGACAACGGTCTGCTCTATCTGTACTGCCAAGTCATCACTGCGAATTCACAATTGTCACAACAGTCACTGATAAATGTTTTCTCTAATCATCAAAGTCACTAGCACAGAGAAAAGCTGGGGATTGAGGGGAGGAGGAGGAGGAGGCGTACACTCTACGAAATTCCCATCGTAAATCACACATACATACAGCACGTCGTTTTTACACGTGGGAGAAAAGGTTGCGATAGTAGTGGCGTAGGATCCCAAGATCTCCTTCTGTTGGCCTTCCTCCTTTACCCTTGGTTCCCCACAGTGGATTCTGTTTACAAACTTTCATCAACTGTGAGAATGATTTACAACTGCAAACACAATACATCCGGAAGCTGACTCGCTTAAACATGCTATTTTACTCACTTCCCACTTCCTACAATTGTTTGGCATGAGACCCATCAAAAAAACCCAAGGGAACCCTGTAGCAGAATGACATTCGTTTGGATTACAAACTCCCTACTTTACAGGTTTTCGCGATTAGACTTCGACCATTCCAGGAGTAAAATTAATGATCATTTCTAAGTGAGGGATCAAGCATTTTAGACGAGTCTCAATTTTTTACCAACTTTTACAATCTGTCAGCCCTCAGAACGATTATTTGTGCTTAATTCTATCCCACTATACCAAGATCACATAGAACTATACTAACGGTACAAAAAACGGTCCCCACCATCGAACCATTTTTAGCCCTCACTCACCATTAAGCGGAGGTGTAATGCATTTGTCAGCAGTAGTTAAGTAGAATTGCATCCAACAGTACGTGGGTTCCATCAAAGGCAGATTCTGGAGAAGTTTAAAGAACTTGAAAATTATGATACTATTTACAGGGGAAATTTAATAAAAATGGGTCCTAAAATTGCTAGAAAATTTTGCAAGTATTTAATTAAGTATGATGGAGGCAAAGAAGGGGGTGAGGACTTTTAAGTTCTTTGTGGATGCTTGTGGAGAAGTGGAAGGAGGACTCAAGTAAAACATAGATTCCGTGAAGCACAGGTACCACAAGTGATAAATGCAGGTTGGAATGCAGTAATTTCTCTCACTCCTGATTACTTTACAGGAGAAACTACATTTGAACATCTTCCTAAGTGCAAGTTTTGTGTAATTGAAGTAAACAATATCGAAAGATGATTTACCACAGCATTTGGGTGTGGAACAACTCTCCAGCTACTATCACAGGCGCTGTGTCATTCGAGAACAGATCCATTATGTAAAACCTAGAGTCGAAAGAAATTCTTCTTTATTACTTCCTCATGGAAGATACCAGAATGACTAAGAAGTACAAATGACATGCGTGAAGAAGGGGACTGGAAGTAACGAAGCACCGGTCTCTTTAAACACACTCTTAATGAGTTTCTTGAATCCTTAAACCTCTTGTTTACTGACTTGAGAAGTAGATTACAGTCCTCCTGCCTTCCCCGTATCCTCTATCAACAAAAAAATAAATGACATGTCCTCCACTCATTGAAGGCACTCACGGAATTTATACAGTTATTTGACCTCGGAAGACCTCGCTTCCTTTTCTTCAATCCTTCAAGCCTGTCGATTCTTCCGTCTAAGGATATAAGTACATTTAAACAAATGTTGACAAGTTTTTATGTTCACATAGTTCGTGGAGATGCAGATATATCACTTGTTTTGATTGTGACTTATTCAATGACAATTTAAGTTAAGTTCATGAGCTCGAAATATTGTACAACTTTAGACTTCATTTTAGCCTTGCTGTGCATTAGTTCTTCTTCTCCTTCTTTCCACCTGTCGAAACTGTCAGTGGAAGTATTTCTGTGCTTTGTGTTGTGTTTGTGATGTGATTACTCGGTGTACTAGAGACAGGCAATGGGCGTCTGGTGCGTTTGTTGCTGAATAAATCCAAAATACTTTCCTCCACAGCTACAAATCATACTGCCATGCAAATGCCTTTGGACAGAAAATGTCGCTGATTGTAATAAAACTATTTCAGCGGCTAAGTGATTGTGTTTATGCATGTATAGGAGAGAGCCATCTATCTCCAGAAAGTTGTATCAAGGGCAAAGGAAGTTAGAAATTAGCTATGCAGCCCTTATTCAACGTGGTTTGGAAGTTGACTATGGCTATGGCATTAGTGTAAACTTTTTATTCTTCTGTTGGTCCTCGTTCACCAGGAATTTGACTTGAACTAATAAGTGCATGCTTGAATTAATGCTACAAACGGCTTCCAACTGTTTCCTTTTTGAAAGGTTAATTCGAAGCTAAGGATGTGGACTTTAGCAGGAATGTACTTTGAAAGGTGGTTTAATGAAGCATTTATTAGACAAAATTCAATATTCAGTTCAGCAGAAACTGGAAACTTTTTTAAAGAAGAAAAATAAGAAGAAGATGATGATGAGGAAGAGGAGGAGGAGGAGGAGGAGGAGGAGAAGATTGACTCCGGACTATAAAGTCAAGGAAGCCGAATATATTGAGCCCATGTGACCCTCCTTTTCAGGTGTCCAAATGAGGAAAGGGGCAATGGCGGATTGACGCTGAAGTAGGGATATGCATCTCAGAGCCATCGCTTCCGTTGTGTAAGGATACGAGAGGACAGTGGCGGCGAAATGGCAGTTGTAATGATCCCTTGTTAACTATCTATTTACGTTCTATTCACTTGTCCACTCATTTACACAGCACATTATCTGTGAGCAGTCCGTCAACATGCTTGTTTATTCGTACCAACAATTATGAGCCAATACACCCATGGGAGGATAGAATGTTCATATGCCTACCTAGTTCAAAATTGAAGTCAGTTAGTGAGAGAGGACGGAAGACCTCGTCCCAAATGCACCTGCGTTAAAGCCTAGAAACGAAAGGGGGGCAGTTAAGACTGTGGCCCGGTGTTTACCCACAGCCTACACAGCCCTCATTTGCATGAAGTAAACATCCGCAAGGTTCAGCACAGCACAATGTGGCTAAACAAACAAGACCAATGGAGAGAGGAAAGTGAGATTTAATAATAATCAGCAGAACTATGAACTGCAAATTACTCAATCGAATTTCAGAGTACATGGTGAAGAACAAAGCCTTACAGTGATCATTTTGAGGGTGGATGAGCCAAATTACGTTCCGCCTTGGTGCCAATTTGCTAGTCCACAGGGTGGTCAAGTGCCCTTTTCCTGATAGTCCATTTTAAATGCAAAGGATGTCACGAAAGCAATAGTGCTCCTTAACTGACAACCAGAAAATAGGAAATGACAACCACAATTTCTTACCTCTAACAATTTGGTTAATTGAGATTAACATCGAGTGAAGGCACCACTAAAATCGCGTTGCAACTCAGTATGTGAACCAAGATGACTCAATGCCGCCTCCCGAACTAACATCGGAGGATGGACATTCCATTGTGATACAATCACGATTAAAGGGATTGATAGCAAACGTGTTGGAAGGTGATTGTTGATTAAATCTTCTCAATATCCAATTTTCGAGTTCACTCTTCAGATTTCAGATATCATCGAGCTCATTTGCACCGTGAAAGGTATGAGAGATCTATCTATCTACCGACCGACCATCTTACCTACCTATCTACCTTTAACAAAAGTAGACAAATTCGTTTTAGTGGGAACGGACGTCACTGGATATTTATAAATAGATATTACGCCACAAGGTGACGCTAATATTTTAAGTATTGACAGTAAATGCGTGAGTGCGTGGGTAGATGAACAAGTGGCTATTTTCAAACTTTTAAAAATTTGCTGATCATGAGAGACATCACGCACCCTAGTGCTTTAAAAACTATGCTTTTACTATCTGATTTAATATTAATCGACAGTCTTTCTAAGACTGCTAGTTAACATTTAAATAGCTTTCAAATTCCTTTCCCACAGCACAGATCTACAGACCGAAGTAGATAAAAAGCATTTGTCTACCTGATCTGAGGAGCTTAGTTCTAATCGTTTCTTTAGAATACGAGAGAAAATAAATTTAATTCCAGACGACGCCTCATATCTCATTTGGTACAGACGGATCACCTCTTTTTTGGCTTAGAGTATGTGGAGCTGATTAAAAATGATAAATTGGGTGGTCGTACTGGTGAATCATGGTCTACAAAGCTCTTAAATGACCTGTCTACCTTACACAGAGCTTCGCCTTAGCGTTGTGTAGAAAATAAAATTTAACGAGATTTTTTAAAATATGGTTTTGAGCATCGGAATTACGCAGTTCACGCCTGATCTCACCCTCGTAATTAGCTAACGATGAGCGTAAAAGATTACCTCAATTCAAAAAAAGGAGGGAAGATGAGGCCTCACCTCACAAATTTCACCAATTTACCCAAGTTTTCTCTCTTTCAGGACTGTTTTCACCAATACTTCCGATGAATTACCACTGATTGTACAGAATCCGACCAACAACTTTAGCGTCAGTTCATGCGCAGTGCAAGTGGTGGATTCAGCTGTTTATGCTAAATTTGCTTTCCTAGCTCAAGAAGACAAAGTAGGCAAAGACTTCGTTCTGCAATTCTTTACCCAAAATTCCACTTCGGTGCCTTGCTCTGTGTTTAAGGAGACGCCTCATTTTTACATATCACTTCCTCTTTTAATGTCTTGGGGGATAATTCTGGTACTGGGTGAGTAAAAAAACACTTCAAAAGAAAAACGGAACTCCGATTGCCTACCTGGATGTTATGGATAATAGCCATACGGAAAAGACATCCGTTACAGATAGCTGAATTTGCAGAGGCTTGCAGCAGAATAGCTATTAAAAGCGTATCTAATCATGGCACCTGCCTCAATTCAAAGTTTAGCGTAACAATCAGTGGTGAAGCGAGTTTAATCGAGTCATTTTAAGTCGTCCTAAAGAACAACTGTATATAAGCGACAAACGATGCCAACAAATTTTGGCAAGCATGATGTTAGTAAATTTAAATTAATTAAATTAAATTTAAGCAAAGGAGGGATAATATCAAAATGAGGAGGAGCTATGTAATTCTTTGAACAAACTTCTGGGGCAGCTTTGACGAATAGCCATTGGCATTTGGAATGCACCGGTCATAGGACCTCGTTTATTTCTTAAGCAGGACTTAGTAAACAAATTGCACCAATGCGGTTTCCTCTGTTTACCTACATTAAGCTAACCAATCTCTCAGTCAGTAATAAAACTACACCCATATTCATTGGTAGTACAGCAACCGTGCTATAGTGTAACATTTTTGGCATTCAACTGATGTTGTGAGGACAAAAGGAATTAAGAAAATGATCTTTAGGATATAAGTTTGGTTCCCTCGGACCTCACCTAAACATTTAAGCTACTGGATTACTAGAATCAAATATAAAAGTGCAAAATTACATGAGAGATTTTCCGTCATTCAAGCCTTATTTACAGAGGAATTTTTACTTGCTTTTATTATTTGCAATATATCACAGCCTATCTAAATCAAAGGCTAGGTGCTGACCTGAGTGCTGACTTTATCGATTTTTGGCGCCAATGGAAATTCACTTTATTCGACTGCGGATCTGCTAATAACACAACCGAATGCGCGTTCTATTGCGAGGATCTGTGGCGTATAAATAATTACCTCTTACCTAACCCCAACCCCACACTTTATTGAATTGTGAGGACACTTAAAAACCGTCTCAACACGTAGCAAGGGCATGGCGATTCTCGGTTCGTCACGTGACCGCCATTGCAGCCGAATGACGAAATGTTGGCTGTTTTACTGCCGTGAGCAAGGACTATTAGTAGAAAAGAAAATAAATACTTTCCTAGTTTCTAGTCACTTTGGTTTCATACCGCTTGTAAGGCATTTTAAGTCATTTAACAATTTTTCCGGGACAGTATAATGGAGTGCATTACATTGCTTCTGCTAATTTTTAAGGCACTATTCGGCATGAGAGTCTGAATTTACCTTTATTTGTATAATAAAGAAGAGCTAGAAGAAATCTAGGGTAAGCAGGACTACCCACCATTGATGTAGGCTGAAAAGGCCTTCAACAATAATTACTACTTAGTGACCTTATAAAAGTGCTCTTCAAAATCGTCTTGTCACACCCTTCCCCATACTTACTGATCACATCGGCGAAAAATTCACACCGCATAGAGTGGCTTAACATTTGGACGTTGAACCTGTGTTGGATCGAAGTTCAAAGGTCGGGTGTTCTCCTTCCAGACGGCAAATGCGTGATGTTCAAGGTCCAAAATAACTGAGAAGAAGCTTGAAAACAAGTGAGAAAGTGAAAAAATTCTTTCCACTTTCTAAAAATAGGTAAATTGAAGTCGTGATATATTGAATGAATGTTGTGCCATGGAACAGACAATACAGACGGCTCACAATGCCAACCAATCACAATGAGCAAAGGCTCTGTGAACCGGTAGATAATTTGGCAGCTTTCTCTTTTAAGGGGAGAGGGGGTTCCTGGCTTTGGGAAACAGCTTCTTGGATGAAGTGAAGCCAAACTAGTTTGAAATACTACATCAACTACCAATAATACCTAGATCATTGAATTACTAAGATTTAAGGGGTCTGCTTCGATTAGTTGCTTCACTGCTGTTTCTTGTTCAAGATAACAGCAAAAGTGGGTCTGGATCAGGCACTTTAGGCTTAGCAACTTACTATGAACATTTTCATCAATTGCTCAGTTTTTGTTGGGGCTCATTCCACAGGGCAACTCTTACACGACCTCAAAAATAATCAAAAGCTTCCAAATTTATTCCCTCTATTTCAAATAAGGCCTTCCATTTCTAGAGTAGCTCAAAGTACGTCAAATTTTTCTTACTTTGGTCCTTGGCATCAACAACAAATCTCCTTATGAATGTGAAGGCAGCTAAATGACCTTGACAGCACAATCAATCCAGACAGTTGTGTTCGCCCATAGGCCAACGAATTATCAAGGTCATTGTGCGTTTGAGCCATTAAGCTTACCCTGGAGATTTTCGTGTTTCTGCATAAATCACAAATTGGTTACTGCACAAATTTTAATAGATTTGTTTGGAAATTTAATTGTTATTAAAAAACGCTTTCACGCTTAATAGAGGCGATGCATTTAAGTACAGAGGAACTTATACAAGTCATAAAGTGGCAATCTAAACCGTGTTTTATCCCTAAACTTTTCGTCCCAAATGAAGTCGACTTAGATCTCATCCGGATAAAGTCAGGTCTAAACACTTCTAAAAATGTCTCTTAAATGTATGATTGACACCATACTGGTTATCCATGGACTATTGTCTGCTGGAGAGAAAAAACTTCTCCAATTTACTTAACCGAAAAGTGCTTCCTTAGTTAGCATGTAATGGCTTTTTAGAGTGGCATCACTAGAGACTCCATTTTTATATCTTGGCATTGCAGTCTTTTACATTCCATTACATTGGTCAAAAAATTGGGTACTCATCATAGAGGGGCGATTACAAGATAGAAGAGCTGCAGATTATGGCTGATGAATCCATCATTTCCTTCAATGGACTATATGCCTTGGTAAGATGGTAGGAATATTAATTTCATCTCAGAAGTCGTTTACAGACAGATGAAAATGGAAAGCTTGTCATTTTCACCACTCCCTTCCCCTCACATTGCTATTTTTATTACCTCTAAGCCATATGTCTCTATGATTCTCCTTCGGATGTCACTTAGAGGAGGCTTCTCTACCCTGCATAGTAGAGGTTTTAGTATTAGGTTGATGCAGATGAAAGGATGAAGATCAAGAGAAGGGACCAAACGCAACCGAAGTGGAGCCTTAACTAGGAATAGTAAAAGCAATAAAAACGAATGAATGTTGAGTTCAACGTGGACTGAAATCAAACTTCACTCGGTTTTGTGTTGTGAATGGGAAGAGGGATATAGAATGAGTTAGTGTGGTTTTGCGGACACAAACTCATAAATTGTACAAATTTCGATACTCACACGAGGTGTGCCTGTGTGTATGTGTGTGTGTCAAGGAGCGTCTTTGTTGTTCCCGCCAGTGTTATTGCCAGTGCGGGTGTGCCAAATGTAAGACAACAACTGTCTGTCTACCTGCTTGTAGTTGTCGATAGGGGTCATGTAATACTTAAACCCCTACTCTTTAAGTACCACCGATTAAACACCTAGTTTCGGTTTCGCAGGCAACAAAGGCTCTACCTTGGTACTCCTACCGGGCGGTAAGGCTTCCAGGCAGTCCACAAGAGATCTCCACAGTAGGGTGCTGGCCAATGCTCCACATCTTTGATACCAGACCAAATTTAGACTATTCAAAAGCTAACTACCTCATAAGAAGGAATACATTGCAAGACGATACCAAACACTGTCAATGTGAGCGTGGTGTTGTAGTTCAAGTGTGGAATACACGTGATATGTGGCGTGGGGGCAGATGGGACAGAATTGTCATGTAAACATTGGGTGCATTCAATATCCAAGTCCCTGCCCCACTCACTGTATCACAACAACAAAAGCCCCAAATCACTGCTTGTATATGAGTGGAGCAAAGTGTTATATCCACTCCTCAGTTCCGGTCTCATCGCATCACTTTACACCACACTACACTACACCGCGCTGCAATTAGCTACCCACTATTGTGCCACAACTGAAGGTGTATGAAGCAATACGTCAGTTAGCGAAATACGACACGGTTTAAATAACCCCTCTGTTGCAAGTCCTCACCGATTCTCCCCCTCACACCAGATGTCTTCACTACATGACACTTGGGTGTGCTACACAACCAACGACGGGAGAGATTGTCATTCTCACACAGTGGGTACGACAGCGCCACCACAAATATGCCATTGCAGTGTTCGAGTTGCCTCCGAACATGCGAGAAGAGAGAGAGCAGTGAGGAAGTAGGTCCAATAGCAAAGTGTGGAACACAACAGACCTCCATGCATGTGGATTTGTCGTTGAATAGAGACGAGGTGCGTGTAGTAACACAGTGACACACACAGTGACACTGCAACACAGCAACACATTTGAAACATGGGTTATCCACCCACACCCCATCCCAATTACAAGTACCCAAAAATAGAAACCAATTAGGTGGTCAAAGTACCTGCACCTCCTCACTCAACACTAACGCTTATTTCGTTACCATGTCAAACTACACGCTAATCTACACCGTCTCATCAAGGTGAACTGATTTAGATGCCTGACAATGAGATGAATTGATGACCACCCGCAAACCACAAGTGCTTTCGTGTACACCACCTCTGTGCACAGTCGGTGTATGTTTGTTGAGAGGTTCCACTGACATTCACCTCCAACACACGAGTCGTGAGGGAGACGTAGTGGCCACATCGGTGAGGAGGTGAAGTGTTTCGTTTCGGTGCCTTCATTCACATGCAAACTCCGTCATCTAGCCATCACGCTTCCCATCAGATGTCTTCATCCACTAACCTACACAAGCACGAATGCGAACCTATTCAATCTCCACTATTTCAGGTGGGTTGGTAAACTGACTAACACACTGAACTACAGCTATCCTCCTGCCGCGTGCATGTTACTAGACTTCCAGACCCTCCCAACACTCATACTAAAACCAACTCCACCCTCCCAATCTAACGATTAACTTCAGTCTCCTCTCGTCTTTTCTCGTCTCGTCTCATCCCGTCACATCTCGTCACGTCACGTCTCGTACTCCCTTCTTACAGCGCCGTCAGTCGACATGTGTATTCCCAACTGCCATAATGCAGCCTCCACCTCCAGCAAGGCGGCTGTGCAGATTCAGTTGAAAACAATCAAGCATGAACACAAGCAGCAACACTCCCTGCCTCATACACAATGTGTGCAAACGATGCCAGACACTTGAAATAAACATCCCCATTTAGAAGACCTCCATGGTCATCCACACAGTCTGCATATAGGCAGATGCATTGATTCTGCTGCTACAACCCTGTAAGAACAAGGCTGTGGTGAAGGCATGTGGCTTGTTGTGTGACATGGATCCTGTTGCTTGTTTGTGGCACTAACATTCGTCGTCGGTGCTAAAGCAAAATCAAGGGCATGTTTTCATCTCTCCAACTTCAAAGGCAACAGTCACTACCGCGACTACGTTATGCGCTCTGCCCATAAACACACAGATCCGACGAAGTCGGAATCAGCATGTGTCAGTGCCAGTGTCAGTGCCAATGCCAGTGCCAGTTCCAGTTTCAACAGCAGTCAGCATGCTCTCATAACTATGGCATGTTTCATGCTCGTGATGTGGTGTCCTTTGAATAATCAGCACAACAACCAACTCCACCACATCGTTGATCATGTGAGTAAGAAGTTCACTTTCTCCATGTGATGGTAAAACAACGACTTGCAGTACTGCTACAACATCTCTCACCACTTGCAGCTTCAGTTGGAAACACAGTGGAGGAGAAATTACTTGCCAAGTGATCAATTACGACAAAGCTATCGCGCTGAAATGTCAATTATGTGGATGATGTCTTGACATCGTTTTCTTACAACTGGTCAAACGTGCCTCTCCACACACCAAACCCATGAACATAGGTGATCCAAGATGGAATCACAAACTTACATTGCAGTTGACTGATACGATAAACCAGTGGATTTAGAAGTAATGACAGAGGCAAGGAGAGAAATGATTGCTCCAAGACCGAAGTAACGGATTCGCCACCAGTGGGTGTCTCGGAGGCAAATAACTTGACTACCACAGTGGGCTGTGCATTCAGGTGCTCTCTTCTTCTAACGTGACCCTCACTCGCCACCACGCTACCACACCACCATTAACACTGTAGTACACATCCATCTACAGTGACTGCGACAGCAATAGCAACAGCGACAACTGCTGTCGCTACAGCTACTACAAAGTGCGATAATGTCGCTTGCAGATCAACAACCTCGCACATCTCTACTACATTGATGTTCTCGGCTTAATTAACCTGTTCGTGTGACACAGATACAGGTGGGTGTAACGTGTTGAACTGCTTATCATGAACCGACATGACGCAGCAATACACGTCTTGCACTTCTCACGTCGGCTCCGTTGCCAATATTGCGGTGTCGCATGCACGTGGCGTTGGTGGTGAACGTGTTGACCACCAACGTGGTCAGAAAGTGGTGTGGTAGACATTTCCAAACAGCAGAGGAGTCTATCACTGCACTACTCATTGCCAAAGCGTAAACTTCAAACACCCACACACTCCATCCACCCACTCGCTCTACACGATTGAAAGAGGTCAAATGAAGGGCCTGTTCAATGAGACACAACCTACAAAGCTTGTCTCATCAACTCTTGGATCTCAGTCACAATCACCAGGAGAAGATGGCCTTCTTTCTGATTCCACTGCAGCACTGAAAGGGCCTTTCCACTTAGGCTTAAAGACAGACGCAGCGTGATACTACTTGACACTGGCGCCTCATTAATCATAAGAGAACTGATTTTGAAAAGGGTGGGTTGGTAGGTTGCTGCAACAGCTTTCACTGTTCCACAATATTCCAAAACTACTCTTACAATTACAGCGCCCTTTTTCTGACAAGCAGCTCACTTACAATATATGCATATAGCGAACAAAATTTTGGTGTGGTTTTCGCACACTCACCGCAATGTCATGCTGCTCTAGCTTAACTAGCACAGATGTGCACCAGTTTTGCAGGAAGGGACATGCCTTGCCTCTGGCCTCTCCAATCGTATCTTGATTCCGCATTTCCTTCAGTGTAGGCTCAACCTGATGAGAATGATTCAAACTTGGCTGCTCGATGATTTCAGTTCCACTCGTTTCCGAGGTTGGAACAGACGCTTCCTGTCAAACTTGCCGAATAACATTTGGAGATGATGTCGGCAGAATGTGGTAGCAGGACGTACCTCTTAAAAGCGGCCCAAACAGTTTGATTGTGTTGGTGATGGATTCCCCAAACTTGGGTGCTGCATCATTCCGTGGAACACCCTCGTTGTTGGTAATGAAGAGTGGTGAATATTGTGCTGACATTGTCGCACTTGAAGACCTCCACATTTGTGTCAATGCATGCAACCTCAATGAATGCAATTTCCCATGTTAGTGATGCGACATCTCGTCTGCTCCTACATCAGTTGAAGCAGTCGTTGTGAACTCCATCCACACGCATCAACCGATAATACGCAATATGCTAGCAATACTATTAACAACCTACACTCGACCACTTTCGGCGTCACAAAATGTGCTGACAAAGACTTGTTTGCTGCCTGACTAACTAACTTGCGATGAAAACCACTTTTACAATGCAACATTATGAGGACTGACTTATCATTGCTCAATTGCAAACTACTTGCTCCCAACCCAATCCCACATTGGTAAGTAATGCACCATTTCATAATAAACCATACCATCATGAAGTGTCCAATTGATGAGGGCCAAACAATGGTCACGTCTGAAGTTATACAGGGTAAACTGCATCCCATTTGACATCAGG